TCAGCAAGCTCGGTCCTTGTCTGGTCTGATGGTACAAAGATTCTTCCATTCTATTAAGACATTGTACACTATAAAACCCGTGTCTCAGGGCGAAACACGAGCTTTGGAAGCCACGAGTAACGGGTCATCAGCCTCGAGGTCTGGCCTGTTCGGGATATTCTCTGCTTCGAGGATTGAAAGAACGAGAAGTGCCATCAGACCTCAGTAAGGGTTGGTGTTAGTTTTTTCAGGTAACTGACTTCTTGGTACTGGAGAGAGTTCTATACAATGATGATATTGGAGAAAAAATCTTTTTTTTTTATATTGTAGGAAGTTGGTATATTTAAAATAGGGTTTATATTATTATATGATTTGAGGGGAAACTGAATTATGAAAGTGGATATTTTCTGTCATTTGCGACATGAATCTTACAGCAGTAGAAGTCGAGACGGATGGTATCTGTTAGAGAATCAACGGTTCAGATTCGTTTTTATGGATCGAATGGTTTGGATCGATTTCATGGTATCAACGGTTGAGAGCTATTATCCCGATCGGACGGTGCAGATGCTTTATTTTTTATCGACGGTTCAGATTAGATTTAAGAATCGAACGATCCAAATCTTTCTGTTCATAATCTACGGTTCAGATTATTTATGTCGATCCAACGGTTCAGATCTGAATTTGATACCAACGGTTGATATTGAATATCAATGATCTGATGGTTTAGATGTCTTGTCCATGAACCAACGATGTAGATTCGTTTTGTCGGATCCAATGGTTGCGGTTAAAGTAACACTTGTAAATCGACGGTCTGACATTATATAATTAGAAATCCAACGCATCATTCTATTATTTTACCGTTGTTTTGTTCTTAATTTCTCACCGCTTCTATTATTAATGTCACTGTTATTTTTGTTACCATTAAACGGAGCTTATAATAATTATAAAATAAAATAGAAAAAGGGTCATTTTTGTTACCATTAACCGAGCTTATAACCAATAATTTAAAAAAAAAACAAAAAAAAAACTTATAATCAATAATAATTACAGATAATAATTTTCAAAATTGCAATCTTTCATTACTAATTTTTACCCATCAAATATGTGTTATTACCAATCTTTATTTCCAATATTTTTTTACGAATCAAAGCACTAAACTAATTGGCTATGTCAATCTTGATTTTCCAAAGTTCATTAAATCAGGAATATGCGTTGCCATTACCATTCTGCTTTTTTCCATGTGCGCTTGTTGTTGAGATCTTTGACGACTCTCTTTCATTTTTCTAATTATTCTTTTTTTTTAAAAAAAAATCTATATACTTGTCACGTTACATAACTATTACCAACATTTCCTTTTAAGTATTTATTGACTTGAAAAGGCATATTCATGTACAATATTACAGTTTACTTATATCCGTACGACCTTTTTTTTACATAATTTTATAAGTAAATATATAGACTTTAGGGAAATTCCCTAAAAAATCATCCTATTTAGAGATAACTACCAGATTCATCATGAATTTTTAAAACGTTTATATTCATACTGAATTTGAAATTTTTTTCTAAAAAATTATTCACAGTTTGAATTTTAACAAATTTTTCATTGGCGCCGAATTAAACTTGACATGTAAATATTTACGTGGTGTCTACGTGGCATGTATTAACTCGTCACGTAGGACATGCCACGTAGGATACACATCAAATTAATAAAAAAAATTATAAAAAAATTTAAAAAAATAACAAAATTATAAAAAATTGTAAAAATTAAAATTTGCAAAAATTTTCCAAAATTGTAAAAAATGTAAAAATTGTAAACAAATTGTGAAAATTGTAAAACAATTTGCTAAAGTTTCCAAACATTGTAAAAAATTGTAAGCAAATTGTAAAAAAATGAAAAATTTTAAAGAAATTGTAAAAATTGAAAACAAATTGTAAAAATTGTGAAAACATTGTAAAAATTTATATATATAAATATAATTAGTGGAGGTGATATATATGAAAGAAATGACCATTGAAAAACCGATTTCATAAAAAAAAAGTTGTAAAAATCGGGATGTAGAGATTTTTAAATCGATTTTCAAATTTTTACAATTTCTTTACAATTTTTACAATTTGTTTACAAGTTTTTTATAATTTTTTCAATTTTTTACAATTTTTATATTTTTTTACATTTTTTTACATTTTTTATAATATTTTATAATTTTTTACTATTAATATGACGTGTATCCTGCTGGCGAGTTAGTACATGTCACGTAGGCGTCACGTAAGCGTTTTCTACCTATGTGTCAGATTTAATTCGGCGCCAATGAGTAATTTGTTAAAATTCAAATTCTAAATATTTTAAAAAAAAATTCAAATTCAATATGAATATAAACGTTTTAATAGTTTGTGATGAATTTGATAGTTATCTCTAAATTAGATGATTTTTTTTGGGAATTTTCCAGGACTTCATAATAAATAATAAATTGTAAAATATGTCCGGGTGAAAAAGCAATTGGGTCGAAAAAAGGACTTAAACCCCACCAGCTAATAAGCCTTAGACGTGACTTCTTCGAAGAGAACCCACCTTTCCCTTTTTGGCAATGAGGTCTTCGGTCCCATTGCGCTTTGACGTTGACCGTGTCCGTCTATTTTTAGTAACTCAATCGGACGGTCCTGTTCCTCTACGTATCTCCACGCAACAGATTCTCAGCCGTCCGATCTCATCTCGTGCGCGGTGGACCACACGTCTAAGTACTTTGTGTGAATTAGCTGTCATGTAGGTGCCCACGTGGCATTTAACGCTGTTGTGGTCCCCACAAATCGCTGTCCACCAAGCGTTGAGATTCGTTTTTTTTTTTCCGACGTGTATAAGTGTATTAGCGCATTTTGATCAAGGAACTCATCGTGACCGTTGATTTCATAAATGGACCGATGTAGATAGCCGTAGGATTTTATGTGTCATTGTCTGTAAGTATGTGGGACCCCGATTTCATGAAGGCAAAGGCACTAAAGATCCGAATGCCAATAAGTTATGTCGATGTGGTTCGGCTAAACCTTTTTTTTTCGGTGATATAAAAAATTTATATAATACATATTATTTTGATTTTGTTATTTTAAATCAGAAATTATTCTAAGAAATCATAATGTATATTTAAATTCATTTGATGATAAAATTAAGACAAAAATAATAATCTCATAATTTTTTCTATTCTATTAAAAAAGGTCGTTTCTGGTTATACAAAAAATTTAAAAATTATTTTTATTCAAATAAACAACAAAACCGAATTTGAGTAGCAGATAATTATTATATGAATATAAATTAAACATTACTGTAGCATTTAAAATATGATTAAAAAAATATAAAAGTACAATAAAGAGCTCGAACAAGAGTGTATTTTGAGGAGGAAAAATCCGAGAAGGGGAGAGCATAGATACTAAACCCTAAATTGAGAAGGGGGGGTACGTAGTTTAATGTACTTTGTTTATCTTATAAATGAACATCGTCATATGTATGTATCTATTGTCGTGATCCATCATGCAAATTCAATGCAAAGAGACCACATACGTATATGTTTCGTACTTCATTTCCCATCTCCATACACCACAAATCATCTAAACCTCTCAACTTTTTCCCTTTAATTTTCACACCTTTTCTTTTTTCTTTTAAAAAAAAAATACATGATGCATGTTAAAATCTACACGCATACATATACAAATATCATATATGTCGTTATATACACACACACACATATATATATATATATACACATATGCTTCCACTCCGGGTTTGATTGATCCTAGTGAAGTTTCTCTAGTATCATCAGTTCATCAATAGGGTTTGCCTTGAGGCGAGATAAGAAGAATATATAAATATTATCACTTGGATCATAGAGACATTATCAATTTTTATGTGATATATATATGTATATATATATATATATATTGTTTCTCAATAGAAATTGTAGACATTAATTATACAATAAATATGGACAAGGTACTTTCATGTAATAAAAACAATAACATAACATTCGATTCCGTTATTACGTGTGCAAGCAAAAATATTATAGCTTATGGCCAGACATTATCTCTTATAAAGTCGGACGAATAATATCTTGATATGAAACAAACGAAAAGAAATTACATTACAACGTCAACCACTGTGTATTTTATCTAATTATGTTTTGTCTAATATTTCTTTTTTACCAAACTGCGTTGGTCAAATTCCTTTTTATTTTCTTTTATTGGGCGGACTTTTACTAATTTGGCCATTTCGCATAAGCTAGATATAAAAATATTACACTATCAATAATTTCATTGCCGTATTAAATTTAAATTAATTTGGACCATTTACCAAGCAGGTAAATAAAAATTGCATCTCTCGTTTGCATTCTTGCATATATTGAGAAATTTACATGAGATATTTCACATTCAATAGTTCAATATAATGGCTAAATAAAAAAATAAAAAAATAAATAGGATGGCAGTTTTGTAAATTGAGAAAAATGTACGAGGCTTCACCTACTTAAGGTTAGGTCACATGATTGTCCGAACTCAAAAGGAAAATATAAAAAGAAAAGAGGGGGATCTAACGGACCTTTTCTTCCCACTTAAATAGCGACACGTGTCCCCCTCATTCATTGCCCCACTCTCCTCCCCATCGTCGCTTGTCCACCGTCCGATCTCCCATTTTCCCGTCGCTGCGTACGGATCATATTTTTTGCGTAAACTAGTTACTAATCTTATGCATGATTTTCATTTACAAAAAGCGATTTTTTTTACTGTTAATATCATTGCTAAATTCATATATATGAAACCACAATTTCTTCGAATTTATGAAATTTTGCAAATTAGAAAGGGGGGAAAAAACTCCAACTTTCTATAAATGGAAAGCAACTTGAATCATAAAACACAAATGAAACCAAAACCACTAGTAGTGTGGTGGATGGTGAGTGTGTAACCATATTTCTCTTGCTAATTATGTATAAACAAAACTGTCCTAATCGAATATTAGACCAATCACATGCAATTTTTGTTTCCTAATCTTGTTCATGTATAAAACAATAATCTCGCAATCTCTATGTTTACGTACTATCCATCTTCAAGAACCAAATGTACCTAAGAGTAACAAAACCTACTAAAAATCCGTATATTAGCTCAAGGTCCTGTAGGATACAATTATTGGATACGGATATATATATATATATATATACATATAGAGGTATATAGTATCTGAGAGTATACAAAGGAGGGGAGGAAAAACAAGATTTATGAAAGATTCTAGTAATGAAGCTGACATATATCGTACTTGATATATATTGTCATGTACAAATGTATATCTACACTTTAAAAAAAAGTTATTAGAAGACACAAAAGCAGCATCGGAAATAAGAGAAATACAAAAGGAGTGGTTGCAAAACAAGGAACGTTATATATACAGAATTGCAAACGTTTAGAGAGAGAGAGAGAATATTATGCTTTAGAAGCAAGCTGTGATTTCGGAATTAGAGAGGAAAAAAAAAGGAGAAGAAAAAAAAATGGGGAGAGGTCGAGTTGAGTTGAAGAGGATAGAGAACAAGATCAACAGGCAGGTGACCTTTGCAAAGAGAAGGAACGGTCTCCTGAAGAAAGCGTATGAGCTCTCCGTTCTTTGTGATGCAGAGGTTGCTCTCATCATCTTCTCAAATAGAGGAAAGCTGTACGAGTTTTGCAGTAGCTCAAGGTATATGCATACATATACAATATACGTACAAACATATACACACACACACACACGCATGTGCATATACATCAGTGGAACGTGTATGGGTGTGCCGTACGTTCTCTCTGCAAACCATAGAAAAGAACAAAGGAGAAAATACAGACGAGACGGGGGGTGGCAAAAAAAAAAGAAACAAAGAAAGAAAGGTATTGGGGGAAAACCCCATTTTTGAAAATTCAAAGTACAGGAAGAAAGAATCTTCCCTTTTGGTGTTCTGGGTTTCTGTTTTTCTTGATTTAGGGTTTATGGGTTAATGTTTATTGAAGAGACGGAAAGTAAAGTCGGTGCATTTTCGTTGTGGGCATAGCTGTTTGGGTTTTTTTTCCGTTGCCCTTTTGGTGAATGTCTCGGCGTTTTTAGCAGGTTTTTGTGTTTGGGTTTCGGTGTTCGTGTTAGATCTGCAACTGGAAAAAAAAACATTTTTTTAAAAAGAAGCTGGATTGAGTAAATAAACTCATAAGAAAAAGAAAAAAAAGCGGAAAAAAGAAAAACCAATGAAAGAGAAGAAGAGATCATTCTCTTGTTTGGATTTCTCTTGGTTGAGAAATTGGTTGGAGCTTTCTTGTAAATTAAAAGATTCTTCTTGCAGGATCCTAAGCCTCTGCGTGTTGTCTTTTTTTTTTTTTGGGTTTTTGCATTTCTTAAGGATGGTGAATGATCAGATTCAGTTTCCAGCAAATCTGGTGAGTTTCGGTTTCTGAAATTTCCCTGGAAAGTGAAATTAGGGTTTATCTTGGAGAACGTTTTCTCAGTGAAGTTTCTTGTAAAGGTTCCACCTTTTGAATCTCTCATTCAATCCGGTTATGTTCTTCAGTCTTGATCCTTAATTGCATTTAGGGGTTTGCGGTTTCTTGAATCAATCCCCCAATTCTCTCTCTCTCCCTCTCTCTCTCAAAGTCATTTTTGCCGTCAGATGTTGAGATCTCCCCCAAAATCTCCTCTTCTTCTGCTGAGCTAGGGTTTGATGTTTCCACAGCTACCACTAACCCTAGGGTTTCCATTTTTGGTTTGACATTTACATCAATGTCAAGCAATTTTTCATCAAACCCATCTAAAATCCGAAGGACATCTCGTATTCGCTTCTCAGGTTCGGATTAATTACTCACTCTTTCTTGATTTTTGCATCTGGGTTTTTCAAACCCTCATATCTTTTCTTTGAAAGACTGGTAGATTTTCCAATCAACACACCCTGATTTCTTGTCAAAATTGGCCTCAATATCCCCACTGAACTAATCCACTATTTCCAGATTTCATTGGGAGGCTCAAAAAAGGGTTGATCTGCTTACTTTACTGTTGAACAACAATGACCAAACCCCCCTAAGTTCTTGTGATAGAGCACCCACAATCTGGATTGGGTTTAAACATGTTGTGGATAGGTAAGATTTGTTATAAATAAGGTAAATGCCAATTGATGGGTTGGATTTTATTTTGTTGCAGTATGCTAAGGACCCTTGAGAGGTACCAGAAATGCAGCTATGGAGCCCCTGAACCCAATGTGCCTTCAAGGGAGGCCTTAGAAGTAGTAGTAACCCTTACTCTCTTTCTCTCTCTCCAAAATAGATGAAATTTCTAGTAACTAAAAGCCATATCATGTTGTGTTTCAGGAGCTGAGCAGCCAACAAGAGTACCTGAAGCTTAAGCAGCGTCATGATGCCTTACTGAGATCCCAAAGGTGATTTCTTTGGAGAGCATTTTCAAGAAAATCGGGTTTTTCTTTTGACAGATCTTTCACTCAAATCCAACTATCTAACTCGGGTATATTTGTCGAAAATCGGGATCGATGAAAAAGGAACCTGTTGGGAGAAGATCTTGCCCCTCTTAACACCAAGGAGCTTGAAGCTCTAGAGAGGCAGCTTGATTCTTCTCTGAAGCAGATTCGAGCTCTTCGGGTACTGATCATCGGTTTTCTCATTGTTTCTACATATATATATATATATACACACTCATATATATGCAACTCTTGAACCAGTAATAGAAAGATTGCCGGTTTCATGGTGGTAAAAACAATATTGTAGATTTTGATTCCAAGATAGTTCCCTGACCATTCTTTGATGAAGTTGTAATGTTCATTCCATTTACCCCCACTACGCAGACTCAGTACATGCTCGATCAGCTCAATGATCTTCACCACAAGGTAAAAAACCAAATACACAATCAGATTATATGTATGTGTGTATATATATATATGTAATCTTACATGTTCTGTCTTCTCCAATGTGAATCCCTGGTGCAGGAACAAATGCTAACTGAAACAAACAAAACATTGAGGATAAGGGTATGGTCTTCCATATCCATCAATCCACCACGCACACGTATATATACATACATACATGTATAGATACGTATATCATACGGTGTATGTAACGTTTGTGTGGGGGCTCTCTCATGCAGTTATCAGAAGGGTATGATCAGATGCCGCCATTGCAACTTAACCCTCACCCCGAAGAACTCGGCTATGGCCGCCAACCTCAGCAGCAGCTCGCTCAAGCCGACGCCTTCTTCCACCCCTTGGCTTCAGAGCCTATCCTCCAAATCGGGTAACATATATATATATGTGTATATGTATGTATGTATGTATTGTTTAATGAGATGTGAAAGTGAAAGCTCATGAGGTTTTTGGTCAGGTACCAACAGCAGCAAGAAGCAATGGCTGGAGGGCCAAGTGTGAACAACTATATGCTTGGTTGGTTACCTTACGACAACAATTGAATTGTCGAAATATAATTTCATTATTAACATTTTAATTAATTATAAACATTGACCGTCGATCTCTCGTGTGCATGTAATGCCAAAACCCATATATAGTTTGATGTCTCAAAATAATATTATATTTTTGTTTCAATTATTAATCGTCATTGTATAACATGTATGATGTGTTTTTTGTTGCCAATTTCATTATCTAATTGAAAATCGAGTAGCTTATTGTTTGATTGTTGATTGTGAAGTATTAATTATTTATGTATCATAACATCCAATGTGTGATAAATATGGAAGCTTAAACGTTTGGGAAATTTGAATAAAGAGAAAAAGTGTAGGATCCGTTATTTGATTTTCATTTCGGATTTTAATTTATTTAATTTAAATCTAAATACAATATTCAACATTGTTTTGGATTAACTTAATTTTTACAAAATAATATTATATACAAATGAACCCAAGTCCAAGTCTAATAACCAATTGTTTCCATCTTGTCCCTTTATTACCAACAAATTCCCTCCAATAATTAAATCAACTAGTAGTGTCTGTCACGCTATTCTTTAAGATGATAAGTATGATAATTTTTTTTTAAAAAAAATGGAAAAGCGTCTTACAACTGTTTTATTTCAAAATAAATAATTGTTTGTCATATAAAAAAATGGAATTTTTGTTCCTATTTTTTTTAATATAAATGAAAATAATTTTAGATGTTGTAGGGAGTTTGCGTGAATAAACTAATATTAGTTATCTTTCAAGAGATCTCATGTCCATTTTTGTCTACAAACCGATGCCTTTACTTCATTAATTATCGTCAACGGATATCCAATAATTTTTTAAAAGAAAATATAGTTTAATTCAATTGGATATTATTTTAAAAAATAAAATGTACATTAACTGATATTGGATATAAATAAAAATGGATAACAAAAAAGAGAGAATAAATAAAATTTGCAAATAAAAATTGAATGAATTTTATTTGTATATCGGAAAACAAAACCGGATTGAATGTGATTGGTGAGTCCCTCAAATCGGATAACAAAAATAAACGTGAGAGGAGATCGATCTAGAAACACGTAATTCACGATTTATCGTAGAGGATAAGACCCTACTGTCATATGGGGCCCACATCCTTCACAGCTCTCTTCAAGAGCGTGTGTCTCACGCGCCCTCTGTCACACCCACAACAAAGGATAGCGTCCGCAAAGATCCAAACTTTTTCTTCTTCTTTTGTGTTTTCTCGTCATCCAAACACTCGCAAGAAAAAGACAACAAGACATAAGCTTTTTTCCTTTTCCTTCCCTTTGCTATAATTCTCGTGCTCGAGGGTTTTGCATCGCCGCATCTGTCTCTCTCTCTGTAGGAAAACCCAGTCGCAGTTTTTTCCTTTAAAAAATTCCCGAGAAACAAACAGATTTTGCAGTGTCGCAACTCCCCCAGTTGGCATAGGAACATTAAATCGGTCTTCTCCCATCAATTGGCAGCTTTGGATAAACCTAGAAGATTCATAGACACCCAAGTTTATCCTTTGCCTCGATTTCAGCCAAGTTTAAAAAATTTTCCTTTTGGAAATTTCCGGGATTATCCTCTTGAGATTATTTTGGGTTTTCCGCCGTCGATTCTGAGAATTTCTGCAAGAGAAAAAAAAAAGGGATGATGAGAAGGCAACAGCGCCAGCGGGATCAGCAATCTAGGGCTTTCTACGAGCTCTCGGCTCTTGTTCTGAGTCTCCTCCGTTCTCCGCCGATGCCCATGTCGTTTTCCGATCAGTTGCCGGAGAATCCGAATTCGCCGGCGAGAATACGTCCGCCGCCGCGATCTTCTTCGTCGTCGATGGCCCACATATCTCCGACGGGATTCGCGTCGCTGCTTCTGGGGATATCGGTGGCTCTGATGCTCTGCGGATCTGTGACTTTCTTCATAGGGTTCCTGTTAATGCCTTGGGTTCTGGGTTTGATCATGATCTTCTATGTCGCCGGGATCGTGTCCGCCATCTCCATGGTCGGAAGGTCCATCCTCTGTTACGCTTTGGCCCCACCTTCCTCCGGCAAGGAGATTCCAGGTAATTCATATGCTTATTCTTCGACGTTGTTGGTGAAATACGCTGAATTTTCGTGCTCTGTTTTGACTTCTGGGTTTCTCCGATCCTTTTGCATATATCATGCGCCATTGAAGTTCCAACTTGTTTGTGTAGCTTAGAAGATGGATGGATGAGCTTCCCAGATCCAGTATTGGTTCCATGAATTAGGGTTTCTGGCTGTAAAAAATAAATCCTTGAAGCATGATGGGTTTTCTGAAATTCAATTGCTTGCGATAACACGAAACGAAAATTTACGGGTTTCCAAAACGTGGCTCTGTTAGATGATCTTGCTCTTTCTCAACTCTATGTTGATCTAGTTTTTGGATGATTGGATCTCTATCCAAAAAGAAGAAATCTACTTTTGTCTTTGGATCCCGCCATTGTTGTGTTGTCTGAAGTTCTTGTTTGAGAGTTGTCTCTGATTCCCTTTTGTGATTTCGGGTCCGAGTTTTCGCAAGTGGATCAGACAGAACAGAATCTTTACTAACAATCCATGAAAGTTCACTGCCTTTTGTCTTTTGAAATAAGCTCTCTGTTCTGTTCCACTTTCTGAGTATACATTTCCTGAACATTGTCTTTCTAAGGTAAAACTCAAAAGCACCAAACCTTGAACATGGGAACTAAGTAGCTAATGCCAAATGAATCCACGTTTGATGATAATGCCGAAAACTCTATTCAAGTTCATGGTCCGATGCACTTTAAGTCTAGTGTATCTCCATGAATTTTGATGATCTCGAGCCCAAGCTCCGCTGAGGGGGACTAGGTTTTTCTTGGTCGGAATTCTTACAAGGTTCATTTTCACATGGAAGAGATCACAGAATCTGTGACTTAACCGGCCTTCGATTGTTCACTCGTTTGGCAGAATGGAAGCTTTTGTGATGTTGTAGAGATGCCGGAGAAAGGGAAGCTGGGTGTTGAAGCAAGAGAGGAAATCCATCGCTTCTATGTAAGCTTCTGTTTCATGGGGAGGGTTGGATTTTTCTTACTGAATCCTGTGGATATTGGGATTGGGGTTTTCCATTTTCTTTTTTTTTTTTTTAAAAAAAAAAAATATGTTGGAAGTAGAGTATATACAAGGCCCATCAGACTCCTGATTTGTGATGTTTTATGGTGTATGTAAAATTATTTCTTGATTAGAATGAGGTTTGGGACGAGATCTCTAGCATCTTCATATTTCGGAACAAAACAAAATATCTTAAATTTTAGATTGGATAAAATAAGATTCGATATATGAAAACAGAAATATATTAAAAAAAAAAAATAGGGTTTTTTTTATTTATCATAATCAGTTTTTTTCTTCTAATCGTTCAAAATCATCAAAATATAAATATAAATGAATTACAGATATAAATCAGTTACAAATAATATTATATTCGAATTAGATTAAATAACTATGAATAACGTTATACTAGTGTAAATTTATATATTGATTTAGTTGTAACATTTTAGATTTCAAGTTGCTTGGATAAGCCTCTAAATAGATATATATTTTTTTTATTAGAATTGAATTAAAAGAATTCCATGGTAGCAAGGTAAAAAATTTTCTTTAAAAAAAAAAAGATTTGGTCCCAAATATTAAAATTTATGTGAGTGGTGGAGAGGCAATGACGTGGGTAAGCGCAAATCTATGAAACGTGTCAATGGGATGACTGTCAATTTGTGGGGCCCATGAACAACCTCTCACTCTCTTTATCCACGCGTGTATTCCACGGCCTCTAACCGCGATTGCGACCAGGGCAGCGTTTCCAAACGCATTTTGAGGCGTTTAATTTAAATTCGATTTTTTTATGTTAAAATTGATGTATATTTGATTTTTAAAAAGTCAGATTTCAATGTTATTTAATTCCATTGTGAATGGAATCGCTACACCGTACGGTGTGGTTGCTGGAGCTGTCCTGACTTGCAACGTGTCCCGGATGGATATTTGTTTTGAGAGAACGGAGAGAGAGAGAGGAGTGGAGAGCTTAGACCGAATCTGAAATGGAATCGAGCGAAGATGTGGAGGTTCTGAGCAAGGCGATCGAGAAATTACTCGATGAGAGGAGGAAGCGAGACGCTGCGGGGGATTCCTTCGTCGAAGACGATGATGATCAGCTTCTTCTCTCTAGGCTTCTCTCTCAGGTATCTCTCTCTCTCTTCGTTTCTGCTTTCCTGATCGACCACGAGTCGATTCTCCTTCACCGATCATCGGAATCACGCGTTCCCGCGTCGAATTTCTGTTTTTGTTGGAACGATTGAATCGAAGTTCTCCAATATACCATCGAGTACGATGTTCGAATCAATGTTCCTAACTCAAACAGCGTTAAAGCCGAAGAAGTATTCCTTGAATTGGTATTATGTTTGATCTTCTTGCAATCTGTGATATCGAATTTCTTGAGTTTTGGCTCAATAGGATTGATATAAAAGCTAGCGTTCTCTCCTTTACTTCTCTGATCCTATAGATGTTATGCAACGAGAAAGCGTTGAATTTTCTCTGACCGCATGACTATGATGAAGCAAATGGCATAAGGTTCTTGAAAAACCCCTGAGCTAATATTTTTCCCATTGCTAAGTTGGTGTTCCTGAGATATTAGATTCTGTATTTTTGCCTGATGAATCCTTCCATGATCGCTGCCCGTGTGGTTGTTTTGTTAACACGTTTCATTTCTCTTGACGAATTTGTAAGCTGCTACATCCCTTACCAATGTTGTCCCTTTACAGAATCTGAAATGTCTTGTCTTTTCTTTATCACTAGCTCGAAACGCCCAAGCAGATGAGAAATGCAGACGACAAAGCAGATGGGGCAACAGCAGAAGAACAACCAGCGGATTCGTCGACACCTCCTGATAAACCGGAAGTGAGAAACCAGATAAAGGGTCGGTCTGAAAACCAGAAGAAAGAACTCAGTACAGAGGAATTAGCCGAGGAGATCAAGAAAGTGAAGAGGCAGAACACGATAACCCACTTACTTCTCTCGGCCATGATCATCCTCACGCTGTCATGGCAGCTCTCCGAATTCTCGATCATCATGACGATGAAGAACAGATTAAGCCACCCGTTCAGATCGTTCGGAGGTATGCTTGCGGGGATGATGAAAGGAGGGGTTAGACCGATCACCGACCAGCTTCCGGAGATACAGTGTGCTGAGCCTTCAAAGGAGCAAAACAATCACAACGGAACTCACTCTTTGCCTTCTCTCAAAGTGCCTGAGATGCTAAGAGATTTGGGTTTTAACGAAGACGACCAATGATTTCTGCTTTTTGCAGGAACCAATGGGTTTGTTCATATGATTGTATGTATGGCGCCTTTGCAGCTGCTTTCTTGAATTGGTCGATCAAGAAACATTGACCATTGTCCTTAAAAAAATTGTATTTGTTGGAACCATATGTGTTATGGAAAATAAAATTCATTAAAAAAAAGATAAATATATTCAGTTCATTTACTTCGCTTCACAAAATACGATTATATGTTATATTAATTGATAAAAATTGGTTTAGCTATGAATCGAGTTAGTGTATCAGCAATTATTTGCCGAGTGATAGAGAGAATGCTCACAATTTTAGTTATAAAAAAAGGCGAGACATACAATGCAAACGCGATTCATATAGCCCCTGAAAACACGAGTCGATTCAGCAACTCGACCAAGAAACAATCACAAGACACGGATTCGTCCTCTACTTTTGGGAACGCGATAACGTGACAGACACCCGTCAATGATGTAGTAAACAAGCAAAAACAAGACTCCGTTTCCAAACCCGAAAAACGACCGAAATTGATCGGTTATAAGCAGCCCGGAACTTCCACCGTTCCTTGAAGTGTTTGAGAGAGCATATACCAATCAGCTAGCACTTGCTCCATCAGGCGTAGTTCAACCTGAATATGTCGTTGAACACGTAGAAGCTTCCCTGTGGTGTCGGCATCAAATGGAACATCTGGGCACGAAATGAAACCGTGTTAGGAGTCATGATTCATCCATACAAGGCAGAGGCAAAAGAACTTGCTAGGATTTTTTCTTTTTCTTTTTTTCCTATGAGCTCAAATTCAGAGAACAGCTAAGCAAGATCCTATGAACTCTATTGAGAATCAGAGGAAGAAGATGATGAGATTAAGGAAAAGTTTCTGATTCTCAATATGGTATCAGTAACAGCTAATCAAAATCCTATGAGCTCGTGATTCGGCTAATTCAATAACAGCTAAGCAATCGTGACCAAGGGTTCCAATCCGAGATTCATAACACAAGAGATGCATGAATGACTAGCAAAACATTATGAATATGTATCAAAGTTGGATGAGAATATATCCCCTGACTCCACAGTCGAGACAACAATGAAAACGAATGCTGGTCAGACATGTAGTTGTCCGAAATGAAGAACACAAGATGGAATCTATGCAAAACATATTTCTCGAGTGGCAGTGAAAGAAAAGTCAATTAATGATAAGCATCGACTGATGTAAAGCCCAAAGCAAACCCAGCAAAACAACTCCAGAGGCATAAGAAATGATCAATAAAGAAGTGAATACACTCAAAAGGATGCACCTTTTCCATTGTTATCGGCATGCCCTAATCCCAGTTTCAGACAGAAAAGATACTAAATCCACAAAACAGAAGGAAGATATAAAGAGTTAAAAAAGTAAATTGATGACAAAAAAAAACACGATGGAATGATTATCACAAGTAAGCAACACGGTGATTTCACCACGATCATGGAGCTAAACCCACGATTTAGGCTAGAAAATCCCTCCAGATTCACCTCACTATCGGACAGAGCATAAAATCGCCATACATTTACAGATCGACCCATGGATCGACACAAACCCGACAACCTTAGCGAAAGAGATCAAATAATCAATCACAGGATCATGAAAATCGAAACACCAAAATAGGAGAATGGGAGGAAAGACCTGGCTGAACCGAAGGGCGTGCTGTTCGCCGGCGAGCTGGAGATTACCGGAGACGAAAACGAGCATGCCGCCGGCGGGGCCGGAGGGCTGGCAATCGACGGTGGTGATGTTGTGCTTGCACTGCTGAAAGGGGAGGCTGGTGAGCTTGGCCACGATGTTCTGAGCGCCTTGGATCTTCTGACCTTCGAAGGTCAACATGGATCCTTCCTGATAAAGACTCGCCAATCCAGCCCGATTCGCGTCGAAGGTGGAGTAGTAGTGCTCCACGAACGCCTTCGCCAACGCATCTGGATCCATCTCTCTCTCTCTCTTCTTCTTCCTCCTCGAAACCCTCTCGTGTTTTCTCCCTCTCCGCTTCCTATCCTCCTTTTGTTGCCGCTCGAGAGAAGAGAGACAGAGAGAAGGAGAGAGAGAGGAAAAAACTATAACCACGAGGGAATAAAGAGAAAGGCAAAAAAGGGTTTGGGGGATATATTATTAAATGGGCCTTCGTAATTTAAATATTGGGCTTTATAAGTAGGCCCAATAAAGATGGAGCCCAATTCGGCTCCTACAGTAATTTTTTACTTTTTCTATTCTTCAGTTCATTCCAAACTGAACAACAATATTTAACGGTCGTAATATAATTTTTCAAAAAACCCAAAAAAAACTGATTTATTCTAAAATAGACATTTTTATCAATTTAAACCAAAACTAAGAAGGTTTCGAATCAATATTATTTTTCCTAAAATTCAAAAATCAACCCACATTATATATGCACCTAAATACACTTAAGTTTTCTATATACACTGTTTTCCTGCGGTGGAGGAATCAGGTTTCACAGGCTGCAGCAACGCCGGAAAAAGACGTTAATCACAAGCGTTCGTTATCGACTACGGGCGACGGGATAAAGCGAGAAACCTCTCGGTACAACATCTCCGCTTCGAAGGGTTTCGACACGTATCCATCCATCCCGCACTTCAGACATTCCTCGTACGTTGCCTGAATCACGTCCGCTGTCATGGCCAATATCGGGACATGCCAGCCCGGCGCCTCCCGTTCCATGTCCCGAATCCTCCTCGTGGCCTCGAATCTGTTAAAAACGACACACAATACGTTCATAAATCGGTCAAAAGACGACGTTTTCCAGCAGAGAAATAGTGGTTACCCGTCCATTTCCGGCATTTGAATGTCCATGAAGCAAGCGTCGAAGCTATGCAGCGGCATCGAGATGGCCTTTACTCCGCTGCTAGAACAGATTACTTCAGCTCCGTATCTCTTCAAAGCTCCCGCTGCCACTCTGAGGTTTACGTTGTTATCATCGACAATTAGAATCTTTCTTCCCCCGAGGAGAAGATTCCCGAAACTCGCGGAAGGAAGTTCCTTGTTCAGACGATGAGCTTCCTTGTTCCCGACACCGAATGCTTGCTGCAGAGTTGCAACTAGCATACTCGCCCTCAACGGTTTCGTTACAACTGCGGGAGCAAATCCACCGACGATTGGAGTGTCCGATCTTGATGACCTGGCGGAATTTGCTAACAGAAACAATCTTGGGGCATCAAAAGGGTAAACTTTCTGCAGGTTTTCGGTGAAGAGAAGTGAAATACCCAAATCCCGGTTCCATATCTCTTGCTCTATGAGTACCATTCTCATGGCGGAAGTTCTACTCTTTACGAAACGTAGAACCTGATCGAGATCCGGAACTACTTCGACGTGGATTCCTAGACGCTGAAAATGATACCTCGATACTTTAGCCCTCACGGGCCTATGGTCCACAACCACGGCTTCCATGCCCTGAAACTCAGAAGATATCGGCCGGTTGCTTTTCTTATCCGTCATAAGTAAGCCATTCCCGAAAACAGCGGTGAATGTGAAGGTAGACCCGACTTTAGGAATGCTCGCAAACCCGATTTCTCCCTTCATCAATCCAACAAGACATTTGTTTATGCTAAGGCCGATCCCCGTGCCTCCGTGCGTCCGAGATATCGACGGTCCGACTTGCATAAAAGGGGTGAAAATACGGGTCTGAGCTTCTAAAGGGATCCCGACGCCAGTGTCCTCGACTGACACGATCAAGTTGATTTCAGTAGATGAGTGAGAAAAGCTTCGCCCGGTAGTATCAAATGCGAAAGCTTTAAGCTTTTCCCAACTCTTCCATCGCTCGGCAACCGGAAATCCGCTTAGTGTGTTTCTCGGTGGCGATTCTGTCTCGATGTCGATGGTTTCGAGAAACTCCTCCACCAAATGGACCGTCACAAGGATGTGTCCTTTCTCAGTGAACTGGAACAAAAGATTGACAACGATTTAGCTTCTTTGATCATTGAACTATGATGCAATGAGAAGTTCATAAAGAACACAAGAGAATCATGTCTTACCTTAATTGAATTGCCCATCAGATTTGTGATTATCTGTCGGAACCTCCCGGGATCGCCGATCAACGTCTCGGGCACGTGATTAGAAATGTATATGGCCAACTGCACACACCAAACAACATTTGAATAATCAGTTGCAAAAAACTAGGGATGGATACGGGCAGATAACCGAGATTTTCGGGCAACTCGATCTCAGTTTCCAAATCAGGAATACTCGCTCTCGGTCTCATGATGGTTGGGTAACCCGAGCTTTGGGTACCTACAAATCGTAAACATTCACGAGGATGTGTTGCTTGCTCGAGAGCTGATGAAGAATCTTCTCCACTAGAGACTCTATGTCGAAAACTCCTCCGAGATACCTGAGAATATACAATGACAAGATCAAGTACCATATCTTACTAACCCTTTTTTTCCATAAGCCGAGAGGGGCATCCAGAATTTGTAGAAAAATACGGTACTCACCCGTCAGTAGCTTCGATTCTCTCGTTCGGAGTAGCATTTGAGGGGAGATCCCTTTTGTAGACTGCAAATATCAGTATCACCCCGAGCCTGTTTGTCTTTAGCAGCGGAAAAGGAGCTGTCAAAACCCCTTTCCCTGATTCTCTGGCACGCAAGATATTTTCATGATCCTCCTGTCAAAAAAAACCGACGAGAAGTGACTAAAAAACACTTATATATGATCTTTCTATTATGTCTGATAAAACGCTTTTACGATCCAGAAATTTGGACAGAGTAACATATCTCGTATTAAGCTAGAAAAAGAAAGGAGCTTACTTTTCCAGACAACATATCCAGAGACACGACATGAGATATAGTGTCTTGAGCGAAGATGACTGGAGCGTATTCCTCTTGTATAGGGGATGGCTCCAAGGCTTCGGGGTTATAGCCATCCTTATGAACAGGATTCTGTTTGAAAGTGTACATCCTCCTAATACTCCAACCTTGTTGCCTCTCGAATTGTTCTCTCTCGGAATGCAGAACCCTCACGGCGTAGGCAACACCGCTCGTAAGAGGCCTCTCAAAGGCTGTCCTATCTGTGTACTCGGAGAATGTCCTATACACGAAGTTTCCACAAGTTAGTTTTCGGAAAATGAATGTACCCATCTCAAAAAGAATAAAACTTTGCATTCTTTATGTGAAGGGGACATCAGGGGCAAGAAGAAAGCAGTTGTGAAGACGCCGACAGTAATGAAACGGCAAAACCAAAGACTACATCACAAATCCATCAGAGGATTAACCCGCCATGTCGCAGAAGATCAAAATGGCATGAGAAATGAGAGGAAATGAGCCTTCATATTATCATACCCAGGTCTAAGACCGTTAAGAAATTTTAATATCTGTAGCAAAATGGTTTACATAGAAGAAACAATCCGAGTTTCAGTTCAGTTCAAGATACATATCATCAGGCAGTTGGATTACTACTACACGGCAAGAGGTAGCAACTGGTTTTTCCATCACTGACAAGATTTTCAGACAGGAATCAGAATTCCAGCAACTACACATATGAGGATATCGTAACCAACCAAGTTGTGATAAGAAAAAACAAGAAAACACAATTTTCCTCCATTGCCAGTAAACTCTTACACACCAACTTCGATTGGATATATAATGAGGTAGGAAAATAGTGATCGAAATCATCAACTACCTGATCGATCGCAGAAGGGTTCTTTCCATGGTGGAAAGTGGAGATCGAGATCGACATGGCTTGAACATGATTCATACTGACGTTGAACTGGTCCTGAAGCATCCGAGCTCTCTTATCACACATACTTCCCAACATCTCTCTCCTCTTTTCCATAGCTTGTGAGGTCAAGTACCAGAATGTCCAAAACGAGACAAGGACCCAAACGACGACCCACGCGACCAAGAGTTTCCTCCACCATGTCTTGCTGAATCTTATGGAACCCATGAACTGCTGCCAGAAACCGTGGATCTTCGGACAACTGTTGGAGATCTTGTTCCCAAACCACATTTTCTTCTTCTTCTTCACTGTCATTTTTGTTTTCTCTGCGTCACCGACAGAACCAACAAGGGGAACTGACTTGTCCTCGATCCCACCATCAATGAACCAGTTCAGGGAAATTAAGGAGATGACCCAACATCATAGCAACCAAAAGAGATGCCCCACTTTGAGGCCAAACCCTATCACATGGAACAGCCTCATCCACCACTTGTTATGGGGCAAAAAAAAAATAGTTCGATCAGACCAGAAGCAGAGGACTTTGAAGAAGATGAGAAACAGAGAGGGTTAGAGAAGAACCCAGAAACAGATAACACTGTGTGCAAAAGGGGAGAGAATCATGGGATCCGAAATTCCGACCAAGAATTTGGGTTTTACCCTAATTAGCCACCCACGAATAGAAGGACAGCCCCGAGACGGGTCGGATTAGGACAAAGCAAGCAAAAGAACTGAAATTTCGAAATAACTTAATCAAGGTTCCGAAAAAGAGAGACTTGGCATGATAAAACCTAGGGTTTTAACAGGAGATTCCTCGAAATCAAGAACAGAAAGAGAGAGAGAGAGAGGGAAAGA